AGAATATACAAAAAAGATTCTAATAATGTGGGGAAAGTAAAAACAACACCCCAGTGGGGTAAACAACTGCGCGCAGCAGATTCCGAATTCCGGCAGACCCGGATGAAATACAAGACTAGCAAGAATGTCTAAGCAACGTACTAATAACCCAAGCCTCATTCATGAAAACCAATTGAATGCGGTCATTACTAATACCCTGGTTGAGGGGGAGTCCGGATTGTACTTAGTTTTGGGTCAGTTCAAGGCCCCCAAAAACCAACTTTTGCCCCTCCTAGTCCTACACTCCACTAGCCTAAATCGGGCGTATGGTCGGGCCGGCAACAAAATTCCGGGAATGGCCTTAACCATCGACACTGTCATCCACGACCTGCTAGGGAAGATTACCTGCCGGGGCGAAAATTCGGATCCACTAAACACAGGTATCGCTGTGCAGTGGCGGGATACGTATAGAAACGAAAGTGGGTTAAATTAACCCTGGAAGATCAGTGTAAGGCGTGGCCGATGAGGCCTGCCATACGTTCTTATACTCATACTCATACTCACTCTAATCTATGACTAACCTGCAGTATTGTTGTGGAGGTAGTATCTTCATTTAAATAGTTTCTATAGAATGTCTTTAAAATTTAATATCTGATATTGTGAGGCATCGGACACATTTAGAAATAATTTTAGATTTTTTTCACAGCACAGATTCTAAGAAAATAATTTTTAAAGTTACAATTGTTTTCATACGCCACAGTGTATTTTTTATCTTCGTTTTTAAATCGAGCAACAAAGGAGGATCATGTTGATGCCATCAACTTGATGGTTTAGAAATTGATTGTTACAGTAGCTATATTTTTTATGGAAATCCTAAAAAATAATTTTGTTAGCACTTTTTAAAATTGTTATTTCAAATGTGTGTTAAGAAACACAAAAATATAACAGTTTTAAACCTTAATTTTGACATTATAATAAAAAAATAACAATTTAAATTGATACTTATTTATTACTTTTTATATTGTTTTGGTTTTAAATGATACTTTAATTTTGAATTAGCTAGGTAGTAATTTGTTAAAATACATAACTTTTATTTTTACATTGGCACTGCTAAATTTGCTTCAAATGAAAGGTATACTACCTTAAAGTGAAAAATAATTGCACAATTACCTACTGATAAAGGTTCCTTTGAAAAATAAAAATTATGCTAACTCATTATGTGTTAACTAACGTTTTTAATAATAATGACATATCGTGTTGGCAAATTTGTAAAAAAAATCCGTATCATTTGCGTAACGTAATGAGATATTATAAAACGCAAATGTGTGTGTTAAGCAACATTATTTATAACTTAATATTGCAGATAGGACGCTTGAGCTTAGTATTCATGCTATAAAATTTATATATATATATATATATATATATATATATATATTATATATATATCTTCCAAGTATACTTGGAAGATATTGGTATTTAACGTAGGAAATGCAGCTGTTTATTGAATAAAATAGTAACACGATTTTTTTAAAGTTACTTTAATTAATAAAATAAACGAGAACCAAAGTGAAATTATCAAATATCTGGGTTACTTATAACTAATGGTAACTAAAACACTACGTAGGTACCCTAAAAATACTTTTATAGTACAATTTTGACTATTTCATTTTTAGAGAGAATATAGCTAACAAACTTAAAAAAAAATCTTTAATAATTAAGCAAAAGTAAAAAATACAAATTTTGGAAAAAACCCAAAATAACTAAAGGATAACTAAAAATTAAAGGATCAAAAATATATTCCAAATTTTTAGCGATTTTTCAAATGTCTGTATTTTTGTTAAAAATGGCCGTATCAAAGTATAAAAAAATCAATTTGAAGCTTTAAGTCTCTAATTTTTGGGCCTTAAGACGAACAATTTTTCCAAGCTACAAGATCGCGCAATCCTAATGAATATCGTGAAGAAAAATTTTCAATTTTTTTGTTTTTTATTTTCTGTGTACGGACTTACATTATTTTTTTAACCAAACCATCGGATAGGTTGTTAATCCAGCTTAAATTGGTTTTTTTGTAGGCCTTGATACGACCATTGCTCGCTGAGCTATTGGGCTTTAAATGAAAAAGGATCATTTGAATTTGAATTTAAATTGATTTTTTTTTTGCAATTTTGCACTTTAAATGCCGTTAGGTATAAAAATGTGAAAAAAGTGGAGATAATTTTTTTTCATTTTATTAGAGATTATGAGCGTTTGAGAGTAAAAAAACGTGATTTCATTGTGTTTCAAAAATGTTGAAAAAATCAAGGATCAGTGTACCACCCCGTATATAAACGAAACAAAGATTTATAAAAGAACTAAAGTCATAATAAAATTCTTTAAGAGGCATTACACAATCCAAAAAAAGCACCACAATAAAGATATCTTTATGGTGATGCGTTCATTTCTTTCGCCAGGTATATTTTCTGCAATAGCAATATTTACGCAATATTTTTAATAATAAATATTTATTTATACGGACAAAACAAAATTAAACAGATTTTCCTAACCAAGTCAATTTTTATTACACTCTTAGAAAAGACCTGGTATTTGCAATGAAAATTTAGTTCCCAGAACCAATTTTATTAGTGAAAATAGGCACAACAAAAAAATATGTTGTGGGAACTAATACAAATTTGTTTTTACAGTTTGTTGTCGGAACAGCCAATATTGGTAGCTCCAACCAACAAGTTTAAGTGCATCGAAATTAGTTTTTTTTTCATACAAATAATTGATATTTAATGCAATCACATTAGTCTGTCATTTTAGCAGCGTCTAAGTTGTAACAACTGCACTTGCTATTTATCGCAACAAACATTGTATCATGCAGGAATTTATTTTTTAATTGAAATTACATGAAAAAAGGTACATTTAAAGAATTTAATAGTTGATATAATATAAATTTGTTTTGTACTGTAACTAAGTTATATTTAATATTCAATGCTTGCATTAGTAGCAACAACAAATTGGTATTATTCCACAGTACATACCTGCTTAGTAAATATAACACTTTTTGTGTAAATATTATAAAAAATAGAGAAAGGAAATTCATGCCCGTTCGTTTTATAAATATTTATTATAAATTAAAAAATAACAATATAACTGAAAACACCAAATTTTGGTTTAAACATTATAACAAAAATTAATAATTACTCTAAGAAAACATTTATAAATATTTTAACAATAAAACAAAAACGATTCTTTGGTAAATATACACAGATAGGTAGGTACATTAAGATGAAAGTTGACTATACTTCTTCAGTAAACCGTGATGTTTACGTGAAGTGCAAGCCTTTGTTTAACAACTTAACAATGATTCTTAGGTACAACGTAACATACTTGCATGATAACAGGGGTAAGCATTCGATAAATTTTGAGTGTGAGTGCCTATAGTATAGGCCCTATAATGCGACGAGCTGTAACAAAACATAATAAAAAAATTCTCGAAATTCCGACGTGATGGAGACTTTTGGTGGGCACCATTGGATTCAGGAGGCCATTTTCAGTCGGAATGGCATTTTCACATTTTTGGATTTTTTTTCGGACCCCAAAACTACAATAGTGTAATTAAAGGAGTGCAATAATAATACCTAACCTTTAAAAACTGGAACCAATTCAGGTAAACCCCATGTTCCTAATAAATCTGCTACTTCAGTCCGCTCATCCATATTATTTGTTCGAGATATCTATAAGTAACCAACACATAAGAATATATTCTTATATATATGAATAGTTAAAAAGTATGTCGCCACTGAATTTACAGGGGCAAATTACTTATTGTAATAAACTAGTTTCTTACCTAAAATATACACACACGAGCTGATACACAAATACAAAAGAACAAACACCACCGAAGTCTGGACGCAGTGCAACACCGTTTGTTTACAGGTTAAAAGCAGAGATAAAGAAGGTTAAAAGTAAAGCACGCGCCGGGCTGGACAAATCGCGCGCGAAATTCACAAAGTTTGCAGTTGCATAAACCTACAGAGACAACATCCCCAACTGACACTTTGTTTCACACTGCTGGTGTCTTAGCTGTGTGAAAAGTGACGCATAGTTTATACAACCGAACCGTTAGTTCCACGGACTAATTTCAGTCAGTTGAGAATGTTACTTAAATATTTGGTCCAACAAAAACATTTTACCGCCGAAATGATTTTTTTGAGATAATGTTGTCAATACTTCTAGCCAACACAAAGTTTCAGTTAAAATAACTAAATCGCCTTTTTGCAGTAAATAATACTCAACAACAAAACTAAATCTTTTCAGGTAATGATGCAAGCAGTTACACATATAAAGGTACTGATTACAAAAAACAAAAAATTTTATTTTCTGCAACAGTTTTACCCCAACGATAATAAGTTAGTTACAAATACCAGGTCTTTTCTAAGAGTGTAGTAATAACGATTATCGTTACATTATATTATAATGTATAATTGTAATTACATAGTGCCCCACAAGGCTAAAATGCAGTATCTCCAATATTAAGTAAAAAAGGACAAAAAAAACATTATTTAAAACTGTTTTAGTCTAAGTTACTTTATGATATAATGACCTTAGGGGCTATCCAAGATACTTTTTACTAAAGGTAAATTTATTTGTACAATACCTCTTTATTGATAGCATTCATAGATACATTAAAAATTGTGTTTTTTTGCAGTATTTAAATTTGTGTATAACACATCTTAAACATTAATTTGTTTCAACTAATTACTAAAACCCTAATTAAATGAATCTTAAAATAAAAAAAATAATTAATATTTATCATAGTATCAATTTATATGTAAATTTTTACTTAACAATTTTAGAAATAAAGTTATTTGGAAAAAGATTTTACAGGTATTAGGATTAAAATAATGGCGTTTAAATATAGGTGAAAAATTTTTGTACAGGTATTACGATTGGAATAATGATATTTTTATAGAGGTATATTATAGGTATAAACATTTAATTTAAAATACAATCCTCAATACATGTTGTATTATTAGATATATTTTATTAAAGAAAACAAGATCATGAAAACCGCTTTATTAAAATTAACCGAAAAATGCAAACTATTCGATTTTATAAAACGACTTTACCACTTTTCATCGACCGAGTATTTAAGTACTAAAATTAAGTTGTTGAAGAGCCTGAAAAACTTAAGGAAGAAATGCCAAAAACCGGACTACAAGTTGCTGCAATCCACCAATATAGTGCCATATATTATACGATTGCTTTCCTACAACGATTTTGAAATAGCTTTGTTTACAACCAACTTATTATTGGAATTGACAAACTATGCAATACAAAAAGTATCTGAGGAATTCATTAAAGAACTATTGGAGCATTCGTTAATTGAGTTTCTGTTGAATATTTTAAAGAACATGGATAAAGACTTGCTACGTGAGAGCGGTATTTTAATAAATATTCTTTTTATAATTAAATGCTGCCTGGAAAAGCACGAGCTTGACATTTTGGAAGAAGCAAGGGACAATGGCCTCCTAGATTGGGTGACTAATAATTTTAAATATGTAGTACCCTTCTATGAAAACAATTTGTACACTGCGATAATCCTCCGCGATCTTCTTGATGACAAAAACAATTTGACGGCGTTTAGTGAGTTGGGAGGCATTCAATATCTTTTAAAGCAGTTATCTCTTTATTCGAAGGAAGAACCAAAATCTTTGGAAGAAAGGGAGTTTGTAAGACATTTATTTGCTTGTATGGAGATTTCATTATAAGTTGCAAGAATAACAAGTTTCGTTTCTACAAAGCTGCGGGAATTCATATTATGCAGCTTTTAGCCAGAAAAAATATTTATGCAAGACGTAATGCCCTGAAAATTATTGATTTGGCTATGTACGGTAGATATGGAAAGTTTAACTGTAAGAAATTTTCCGATCCCTTTGGATTAGGTATTATTTTTCCTTTATTTATGGAAACTCCAAGTAATATGTTTAATAATATCTATATCGATGACAATGATCTTGAGTTCCACATTTGTTCTATTATTCAGTCCATAATGTGTGCAAACAGAGATAACAACATGAGGATCATAAATAAGTTTACAGAAAATAATATGGAAAAAACTAACCGGTTACTAGAACTGCACAAAAAATATATTTTTAAAGTAACCAGTTATCACAATGTGGTAAAAATTGATAATGAAAGTGAGGCATCAGAAAATAATATCGTCATTTGTAAGAAAATTAGGAACGATGGCTTAAATACATTACAAATCATAGATTTAATTATTTTGGAGCTGTGTGTTACTGGTCCACCAGAAATTGGAAAAAGAGTAGAAGAAATTTTAAAAAGCCAAAATCTCTCAATTGACGGAATAAAAACCACCGTGGAGTATTTTATAAAATTTTTGGAACGGAATGATGAAGATATTTATCAAGAAAATAAGGATTACTTTAAAAGTTTATTAGAGAGAATATAATTGTATATTTGTTTTTTTTTGTAAATATATGTATTAAATTATTTATACTAATATTGTTTAATTTTATTTAAAATGACGTAAAAGTGCATTGTAAAGAGTGGTTAAAAATGTGTTATTTTTTAAGAAATGCTATAAAATAAAGACATAACTTTATTTTTTATTGGCAAGTACAATCCTTTTCAATAATTATATAATAAAAAATAAAAATTTTGTCTATAAATAAAATATTTTATTTTACATATCGCTATCGCTACTATATAGAAATCTTTTTATGAAAGAATCACATTTTCGAGAAAATGGCTGATAGAACCATGTTAAAAGAAGGTAGCGATATATAACTTCATAGTATTAGCTAATATAGCTAACAAACTTAACAAAAAATCTTTAATAATTAAGCAAAAGTAAAAAATACAAATTTGGGAAAAAAACCCAAAATAACTAAAGGATAACTAAAAATTACAGGATCAAAAATTTATTCCAAATTTTTAGCGATTTTTTAAATGACAGTATTTTTGTTAGAAATGGCCGTATCAAAGTATAAAAAAATCAATTTGAAGCTTCAAGTCTCTAATTTTTGGGCCTTAAGACGAACAATTATCGCGCAATCCTAATTTTTTTTGTTTTTTTTATTTTTTGTGTACTTGCATTTTTTTTTAATTAAACCATCATATGGATCGGATAGGTTGTTAATCCAGCTTTAATTTGTTTTTTTGTAGGCCTTGATACGACCATTTCTCGCTGAGCTATCGGGCTTTAAATGAAAAAGGATCATTTGAATTTGAATTTAAATTGAATTTTAACTTTAAATGCCGTTTGGTATAAAAAAGTGAAAAAAGTGGAGATAATTTTTTTTTCATTTTATTAGAGATTATGTGCGTTTGAGAGTAAAAAACGTGATTTCATTTTTTCAAAAATTCAATCGAATGAAACAAAAAAAAAACGGTTGGATGGATCGAATTGAAACTTGCTAGTGTTTTTGTGGGCATATTGAACTATAAAAGGCATACTTAACATTAGTCGTTTTTTTAATAATCTCCATTCCGCGTGTGATTTTCCCAAAAACCTCCAAACCCCATTTTTTCACGATTTTTCAAAATCATGTTACAAATGGAAAATAATTGTTTTGAAACAAACATTAGCCAAAAGCTTTAATTACCTACTCTCTAAAAATGAATTAGTAAAAAATTACTAATTTAATAGTTATTAGTGGCTGCTTTTTCACTTGTACCATGGTTAACCATGAAATACCATGGCACCCCCAAAATTAAACAGCCAATTCTTATGTAAAATTGTCTCCTGAATCCGAAAATACCTTCAAAAGTTAAAAAAGTAGAACAGTTTTTAAGATATAGTCAATTTTTCATTTAATATGGAATTGACTATATCTCAAAAACTGCTCCCTTTTTATAATTTTTGACGGTATTTTCGGATTCAGGGGACAATTTTACATAAGAATTGGCTGTTAAATTTTGGGATACCATGGTATTCCATGGTTAACCATGGTACAAGTGAAAAAGCAGCCACTAATAACTATTAAATTAGTCATTATTGACTAATTCATTTTTAGAGAGTACCGAATTTAATTTTAGATGTTGTAAGCTTCCAGGTTGTAGCAAAGTTCAATCATTATTAAGGCTATACAGTTTTAATTATACTATCCATACTACGGATTCTATGGGTTTGTTCGAATTACAATAATAAAGCAATCAAAGGCGTTGGTAAAGTTCTCTAATTATATTAATGTTGTCAAACGTCGCGACGCCTCGTTACGCGTCGTGATAAATTAAATGAAAAGATTATTTAATTAAAACTTACTATTAATTTTACTTATGTATTTAATTATACCAATACCAATTTGTATAACGGCCAAATATACTAAAGTGTGTTTTATTAGAAACTACAATTAGTTTTAAAAGTTTGAGAAACTTTTTCCAACTAATTTCAAACTTTATGTAGTAGGCACACTATAATTTATCAGAAGTAATTTAAGTTTATTCAATAAGTAACATTTATATTACAGGGTTTTTATTAAATATGTTTAACTCGTATTATCTTTTTTAAAGTCAATGCTGGAAAGAACAAAAAATCTGTTCGGTCAATAGAATATGTGAATGTATGGTTTGTCTGTGTACATTTTGTATCGCTTTAATACAGTCCAGAAATTACCTATATCATTTTTATTTCAAAGTAATGTTTTTCCTAAATTATAATATTAAATTAAAGAAGAGGTCACTCTACAAAATTCATTATGAATTGTTGGACGGGGTGATATGTTTTTATTGCTTTTTAAAAAAAGTATAAAGTTTATAAATATTAAAATTGAAAAAAAATCAAATTTAGATGAATTTTGGTATTGTGGATTGTCAACATTCACTGCGGTAACGGTGATAACAGGCTTTTTTAGTGAAAGATAATAAATATTAGGTTATCGGTATATCATCAAATCAACCAATCAACCAACCAGTGAAGTTTAATATAGTAAATATCTTAATTAAAATAAACTTTTGATCTTTCAACGGAGAATTTGGTGTATGTCCACATTCACCAAACAGTAAATATAGATACTATTTTTGTTGTTTCAATACAAAAAATGCCGATATTCGATATTTGGGTAGGTACCTGGCTTTGTGTTATTTTTATTGCTGTACAATTTTGATAATGTTAATTAATTATAAAAATATAATAATTAATTATTCAAACAATATGATTTTCAATAATTGGTCAATCTTCTCTAATATTTCATATTTTTTTAATTTTGTAAATCATAGTTCGCTATTGCGCGTTAATAACATATTATCTATTGTAATAAAAAAATGATGCTTCAAAATGCAACTTACATTTTACATGTTTACTTTTTCTTAAACTTAATCCTTTCATAATTTAAAGCTTTGATACTCATGATTTTTAATTAAGCATTCTCATTTGCACGATTTTGCCTAGCTAAGCATTTTTATTCAAAAAGCTTAATGAAAGAGAACACCTTTACAGTTTTTTATTTCATTTAAAATCTCACGTCAACTTTTAAGTTTAAAAAATATGTATTATACTTCAAATTTGTTTAAAAAAATAATATTTTTTTTCCAAATTATCAGAAAAATGTCTCACGTAATTAATGGATGTCCCCTTATTATTATCATCCTCAAACTGTCAAAATCTTGCCAAAGAAGCAAAAAAAAAAATGAATTAAAAACTTAAAATAAAATTTACTACTAGCAATATGTAGTAAAATTTAACTTCAAAGGCTAGTAAAAAGAAGTTAAATATAAACCCTAAATAAATTCGGCCTGCATGAAAGACACCATTTATCTGATTGGATCAAACGACGATTAAAGAAATGCATTATTAATGAAAATTGATTTTTATTGTATGCTTTGAAACCTATTATTACTATTGGTATGCTTTTATGGTTCAATAAAATCATAAAAAAAATTTATCCAAAAATGTGTTGCTGCCTTTTAACATATTAAACACTGTATAAAATGAAACCAAAGACAGTGTTTAGTTTCATTTTTATTTAATTTATTATTAAGTGCTGTATTTGATGACGCTCTTTAAAAAATAATTATTTATATTATTAGGCTGAGAAGTCTTTTTACACTGAAAACATCTTTGACGTGACATATTTATTCTTACAAATGACAGCTGAAATACCCCCGAAACGTCACTGGAATAAATAATACATCAAAGCTCGCCAATATTTTTATAAAGAAAATAACAAAATTAGAATTCGGGTTTTTTTTTTTAATGAGTTAGAGTATGAGTATAACCGGCCCCATTGCCTCATCGCTCCCGGGCCCCGCATAGGCCTCTGTTTCCTTTCGCCCATTTTCTTTCGCCACCAGCAACGGCTTTGGTTTTGGTTAGTCATCTTCGCTGTTTTGATTTTAAGTATCTGTTTGTTTTGGTCTCGATTTGTTTAAAGTTTAGGTTGTTGGATCCGTTCTCTTAAATTAATGGGTTTATTGCCTTACACGTGTGTTGATAACAGGTTTATTGTCCTACTCAGCTTTCGTGTAAATTACCGTAGGATGGGGCGGTTTTTTTTATAATATAAGTAAAGACATATTATGTCTTTACTTTTGGTGTTTACTTACTATTGTCTTACTGATGTTACTATTGTTACTGATGCACTTTGTTTACTTTATGTTTTTTTCTAGAGTTTAAGCAAAGTGCCTAACTTAAGTTTTAAGGTAACTGTCGTGTATCCGTTATGCAGATGGCCCATTTCTCCCTTGTTTGTCATCTTTTGTTTGTCTCGTAAAAATCGTCCAATTGACAGGTGGTAACAGGACCACCCTGTAGCTTACACTTATCACTTCACACTTTCTTTAGCGTAGGGTAGTCTCTACTCACTATAGATGTTACACTATATTTTATTTGAACTTTAGTAATTTAAGCTTTTATGTTTTAATTGGCCTTATTATTTCTATATGCCTATATGAAGATATAGTGGATCTCCATGTAGACCCCTTAAAGCCACTTTAAGGGTGGAAGTTAATTATTAACATTTATATTCTTGACATAGATTTTTATTTTAAAAATTAAATTAAAACTGACCTTGTAATATGATTATAAATAGGTAGCCTAAAATGAATTTGTTAACAAAACACTGAGAGAAAAATATGTAATTGGGTTTAATATCATTTTAATTCGTTTAATTAATAGTAATTTAAATTAGGGATTAATTTGTTGGGCTTGGGACTGTGGTTAAAATAAATTGTGATTTTATTGGTTTGATCTTAAGTCTCCAGATGGTGCATCATTTTTTCAATATCTGTTAAAGTTGACAAGTTTCTTTTTTGATGTTTTTTCATGGGTTATAGCAGTATCATCTGCAAATTGGAGAATGTAGGTAACTTTTAAAGTCTATAGCAGTCAGGTTGACGATGCCTGAGCAGTATACATTGAAAAATTAAGAGAAAGCTTGCTATACATGTTTTTGAGGTTTTTTGTTTAATTTTGATTACCCATGATCTTTTTCGCAGAACGCTATTAATTAT